GATCACCGGTGGTCTAGTATTGTTTAAAAACAAAACATAAAAAAGATCTTATTAGCTCGTGCAGATAAATAGAATTGCTTTCAAGATTAAAAACTGCTTTGCTTAATATTCTATAGGTTTTTTTATAGACATCTCGCTGTTGTATAATGGCTAGGTAGCTAATATAGTAAACCATTGCTAAATTAAATTTAGTAAATATTTATTTTGCGTTTGTTGCACAGCCACTCATAATTATACTTATTACCGCTGCATAGTTACGACGCTACTCTCGATTGGTGCTTTATGTGTACTACAATAATGGCTACCATTCATCTGACGTTTCCAGAGGAAACTGATAAAGATGGAAGTTTGATTCGGATGGTTGGTGCAGACAAAGTAGGCTTACCTACGAAATTTACCAATTGCTTTTCTTATAATTAGACAGATTTTTTTCTCCCCGAGAGTCTCGCCGTGGCGTAATAGCTAGCTTATCATTAGCAAACTATAGTTTAAATGCGTGTTGAGGGGGGACCTAACTTGAAGCCCGACCATTATAATATGCGTCAAGCTGTACTGTATTTGTTTCGCAAATAATTGATATGTAAACACCCATCGGCACCTACCGCAGCGTGATGGTTAGCGTGCTGTATTCGATTCTCACTAAGAGTCTCACAGCAACGGCCTTGTGCCAGACTAAGCTAATTTTAGTAAACAGTCAGTGTTAGTGCAATAACTCAACCACCTCATAATTAACATAATTAGTGCCGTAGATCAATGTTTAGACATTACTCTCAAAAGCGATCGTGAGGGATTTATCCTCTTATCTGTTGAATGGGGAAAACTACCTACAGATCGACAATCCCATGTCCGAATATCTGAATACCGAAAACCTCTGAAAACCAAATATTTTTAGTGTGGAGTTTGGACCGTAAAAAGCTTACCTACATGATCTCGAAGAATAATCTTTCGTAACATGCTTTGTTTCTGGTCAACCTGTGAAACTGTCGTCTAATGTTATTGAAATTTTATTTAAGATTAGATACACCTTTGAAATTGAATGCCAAGTAGACAAGAATGAGCATGTTCGACATCTTCTCTTTGCTTTTAATCAAAGTCATAAAGCTGCTAAATCTGCTCGAGACATTTGTGTTGTGTACGGAGATGAAATACTTTATGACAGGAAAACAGTCAATGCTAAGCTGTATTTTGAACAAATGAACAGGCTCAAAAAAGCAGTTCAGCTAAAACGAACATGAGCGGCAATATAGTGTAATTATTCAACATGCCAATGCTCACGTCGCTAACATCACCAAGCATGCAATAAAAGAGCTCAATTGAGAAATTATGCCAGACCCGCCATATTCTTCCAATTTAGCCCCTTCAGATTACCACCTTTTTCGGTCACTTTCTAACAGTTTGAGGGGTGTTTCGTTCAACAAAAATGTTTAAAACGTGGCTTAGTGAATTTTTCGAGTCAAAACCTACTGATTTTTATCGTCGAGGCATCGAACAGCGGATCGTTGACAAGAGGCCGTAAACAATGAAGGGGGATACATTGTTGAATTAATCATCAGAACTATTAACCCCTTTGAGCCCTGCGTTCCTGAACAATTTTAACCCATCTGCCTGAGCTCCCGAGTCAAAATTCGCAAATAATTGGTATGTAATGTTTCACGGTAGATATAGAAATAATTACAAAATATATAAACATTATATTTAGCGGGGGAGAAAGTATGATTGCATGACTTCACTTTATCGCCAGAATTTTTTCTTTGTGTCCCAGTCTACCCAAATAAGACAGCCAATAGCAAAACACAACGCAAGTGTTTAACCAACGTTCAACCGTGCATTAAGTCATTTTTTCTCTACTACTGGTAAAGCAATTGTCAGGGTTCAAAGGGTTAATAAATAATAAGTATTAAAATAAATTATTAAAAAAAGAGTGAATTTATGTAACAACCTAATACAAGATTTTGTGTGTCGTCGTGGGAAAAGAACTGAGTTTTGTTATCCTGTTGAAGAAACGATACAGAAAACAGTCTGTTTACCGTCATGGAAAATGTATGATAAGCCATAACTTTTAAAAGAAATGGCGCAGGAGGAAGGCAACATTTTACATGTCTTCATAAAAACATTGATTTCTGTTAACATTTTTATGGAGTATCAGAATTTAATTTGAGAAAATTACATGATATTAATTTGAGAAAACTACGACAATGTTTTACAAGTTCACGTTCTTGCTTCTTTTCTGATCTTTGCCCCGACTTTCACCTGTAGGTATATTATTATTATAAATAAATAAAAATAAAATATAAAAACATAAAATAATTAAAATTAAAAAATAACATAAAACAATAACATAAAAACGTTGTATAAAATAAAGTAAATAAAAAATAAAATAATAAAATACTCCCAGCATGCAGTAAAAACTGTTCCTGTCGGAAATACGGACATCCCGCCAAAAGACTTTAAATTCAATCTCTTCACCATGAACCTTGGTACGGGCAACATGTGTCCAATTTCCCTCTGTGATATTGTTTGTAATACTACGGAGTAAATTTCTTTCTTTTATCACATGTACCATAAAACAATTGTAACCTAAAAATACACACACCAATATACACAAAAATATAAATAATTTGTATGAAAGTAACATACAATTTACCATGCTTTTCCTGTTATTTTTACGCATTTTATTTTCTGTCAAGTATGCTTTTATCTCCGTGAACGGGAAGCTAATTCCTGTTGCTATGATGTAAGTGAATCTCCACACACCCCTGCTTCCAAAACCGGGTCCCAAAATCGGCTCCCAAAGCCTTGCTCCTTATCAGAGATATGAATATATTTTCTAACGAACAAGAGTGCTGAAAAATAGGAATTTTGTCGGACCCTTGCTTCCAAAACCAGCTCCCAAACTTTTGATTCTTATAAGAGATAAGAATATATTTTCTAACGAATAAGAGTGCCTGAAAGTGTATAAGCAATTTTGGAGGGAAAAGTTCCCGATATTTCTGAGCCTTCTAATCTCGATAAATACTGAGAATATGCGCCTCTTTGGCAGTGAGTATTGGCCATCGTCTGTGATAACATCAGGTCGGCGACAGTGACACCAGTCATCTTCGGAACCTGTTTCAGGGAAGAAATCTACATGCTGGGCTCTAAAGACCCTCTACTAAAACTACTTGAAATCTGCTTCCTAGGACCTAGAAATTCCTGTCGTCGGCCTACGAACTCACTCAACTACAATCTACGGATCTTCCGATTGTTTCCCCCTCAACAAGAGCTCAGAAAAAATCTTATGTGAGTGTTAACTCCTTAAGGACAATTTACTTGCTTACAGAACTTTTAGGCGCCCAGAAAAATATTTTTGAGCAAGCATTCACATGAACGCTTTATCATCCATTAAGTTAAAGTAATTTTCTTCTCCCTTTCTTTCTCTCATATTTTGTATATATTCCTTTACATATTTTTGTGTATGTAAATAAACATTTTCTTCTATTCTTGAGGTTTTAATAAATGATACAGAATACAATTTGTGCGTTGTCATGAAGACGGATAATTTTTTTAACCGTCTCAAGAAACAATACAAAAAACAACACTGCGTGTTGGTATGAAAAAAAAATCACTGATTTGACATAACATTTTTATGAAACTACATTTTGAGTGTCATGAAAATACATAGATTTTCATTAACCATTTTCGGTAACGACAAGAATTTGAAGTTCGTCATGAAAAGGGGCCTATTTTCTTTAAATGCACTTTGTGTGTCATTATGAAAAGAAATGATATTTCGCGTGCTGTCATGAAAAAGGACCAATATTCGTGAAAATTTTCACAAGAAGGCCATAAAAAAACATTGATTTCCGTTAACGCTTTTGAGGAATTTCTTGTGTCATTAAGATAAAAAACTTGATTAATTATGGATTAATTTGTAACCTAATAATAATTATTTCGTTACAAAATTGTTTTACTTCGACCTTTTCGAATACTTGCTTCGAAAGAAATATCAATAAATAGCAAAACAGTTAGTCAGCCATAATTACATTATTGCTTTGTCTTTATTTAAATATTTTATACATGAGGTCTAACCGAAAAATATTTTAATATTAAAAAATAACTACCTAGAGAAGTTGTACCTTAATCCTTTCAAAGTATTCCTCTTGGGACCTTATACACTAATCACTATGTTCCTTCCATTTTTCAAAAGAGTGTACAATGTTCTCTGTCGAAATAGCTATCAGCTACCTTGTCTTGTTTTCTTTAACCTCGTCCATATCTCGAAATATCCTCCAAAAGTTGTAGCGAGCTAAATCTAGGCTATAAAAATGGCTGAGAAACATGGTTGATGCGTTGTTTTGTTAAAATAAAACAACAACAAAAAAAAAAATACAATAAAAACCCTGCATGCTCATTTATTCGTTCGGCCATTGTGAATGCGATGACCAAACAGTAAACAGACTCACTCTGTGGTGTCTAGCAGCCGAAACTTACAGGAGAGTATCTGTTCACGCATGAGCACTAGTGTCCTTTTTAATTGCTTTTTCAAGGCCGCACAACCTGTTCTCGAGATATTCAAATTGGCTGGATATTTTCCTGCAACACTTATTATATTTTAATAGTCTCTATCGTCACCTTGCTAATAACCACTTTATTTCATATAAAATGGTTATTAGCAAGGTTTTTACTGAGCTTAACCAAGTCTGGCACAGGATAACAATAGTGAAGCTCTTTGTGATTATAAAATTCCCTACACTAGCAATGGTTTCCGAGTTTAGCTTCTTAGCAGTCGCTCTGCGGCAAGCGCAGACAACTAAGCAAACAGCGAATTAATATTGCTTGAATTTAAAGTCTTCTTATACTGGCCCGTATCCTGCTAGAGCAATTTCCTTTCTTCTGTCTTCGTTTCTAATAATTTGTTTTCTCTAAATCACTACCACTTTCTGTGTGTATGTGCTCTTAATAATGACCACTGTCCACTTTACTTTGCAGTCCAGCAGTCAAGTTTCTATGGTTACACCAGTATGCTACCCCATCGATACACTCAAGCCGTCATGACAGGCGAAAGTGAGTATTATTGTGTCCTGTAATGTCTTCTTTACGAAGACATCTATTGTTTCCATATCATTAATGAAAAATCAGACCACTTTCAAATAATAAACGATTCAACATTTTAACAATGGCAAACCAGAATTGTAACAATGTCTTGCCTGAAAAACTAAGTGATTTAAAACTTTTAAATTAAAATCAACATTTTCTTTGCAAAGTTTTTTTTTTTAATTCTTTTTCTTTAGAGATGTTTTGTCTCCCTCAATTTTTCTCCTTAATCTTTCTTTTCATTTCCTTCATTGATTTTTTTCGTGTATTTTTGTTTTATTTTTCTCATATCTTTGAAAAGCATAATAATTTTTTTTGAAAATGCTTAATTTAACACAAGCATATTCTCTCCATCTCTCTGTCTCTGTCTGTCTGTCTGTCTGTCACACACACACACACACACACACACATATATATATATATATATAGATAATATTAGTGGAAAATATACATACATATGAAAAATATATCTAAAAAATTCCCATACATGTATATTTTCAGAAAAAAATTTTTCCAAGAGGAAGGATCCAGGTAGAACTCAATGTCTAAGACAGAGTAAGGATATAATGAAAAGGCTTAAACACTAATATTCCATGGTCATAATTTATTCCATTGGAATCGTAAATACGATCCAAATCATCAGACCTACAAATTCAAAATGAAAACAGAAAAAAACAACTCCGGAAATCAAAACAGAATTTAGAGAAAGTGTAAGTATGAGGTCTTACTTATATATATATATATATATATATATATATATATATATATATATATATATATAAGTAAGACCTTATTAATTACCATTTTATAAAGTTCGAATCGTTTGGCAATTAGCCGGCGTTTGCTAACCATTTCAATAAACAATCTAATAAATAGTATAAATAAGTGTTTATTATTTCTGTTGTCAACTCTTAAAAACAAAGAAAATGTATAAATTCACTTTCATATGTTTAGGTTTTATTAAAAATTTAATCATCGTGTTAAATCGGCAGTACATACACTAAAATTGGAACGTGAGAGAAGATTAGCATGGCCCCTGCACAAGGATGACACGCAAATTCGTGAAGCGTTCCATATTTTTGCGAGAATAGAAACATAAACAATAACATTAATATTTTTTATAAAAATCAGATGAACGAAAATTATAACCAGGATGAATGCAGAATTAAGAACATTATAAAAAAATGTATAACACCAGTTGACAATACAAAAAAAATTAAATTATTTGTCTAACAGACCATTAATTTAGAGGAAATTGTATCTCCGCTGCGACTTCCGGAAGTTGACCTTCGAGGTCAGATGCAAGCCAAAATAAGGTAGTCGATTTTGATTAGCTGAACTAGCGTGATAGATTGAAAAAGGTTTTTTAGGGTGTTAAGTCTTAACCATCAAACAACGCAGACGTGTTTTCTTTCGTGTCTGAAACGGCTCCTAAGCGAGGAGGAACGACTCCCACTGGATAGATAGAACATGTCGACATGAATGTTAATAAAAAGAAAAGTTAAAAATCTGTGTTGAAGTTCTTTTATCTCTGCACTCAAAATAACTACAAATCACCGGCCGCGAGAGAAGAATGCACCTTTATTATCGAATTGACGCCGTTGCCCAAGACCTCCCAGCATGAGGGGGCTATACAGCAATGGCTTTTTAAAACAATAATCATTGCCGAAGAGTAAAGGTAGCTAAAATAATAGCGGTGTCAAGGTAAAACCGTCCTTTTGACATACCGTTTTATTTGGAGGGGGCGGACACGAAGATTAAAGATTGCCAATTTTAGTTTTAAAATATTTAATTTTTGTTGCCTGTTGACTTTTGCCCCAGTGCACGTGACTACAAGAATTAATTTAAAACATTTACCTAGCCTAGCCGGTCCGAGTGGTTCAAATTTAATATTATGTGCTCAAGTCCCAGAATTCGTCCCTTCAGGTAATACTTATCTCACGGGAGGAGGGGCTCTAGAGTCATTACCTGGCGTCTGAGACATCCCTAAAGAGGAAGTGAAGTTTTCGCCCATTGGGGTAGATTGTTCTAGTTCCGGATATCTTAGTATCAGTTATTTCCCTTTAACTCAACTCTCCAACTTTTTGTTCACCTCGGCCAGGTATTGAAATCACAACTCTTTGGGTCAAATCACTGGATTACTTCAACCAACTCTTTTATCCACTGGGCCATGTGTGCGTTCCTTAAATGTTTTATATTTGTTTCCTCTTGCCATTTGCAGGTGCTGCTGGTCTGGTCATTTCCAGTAATCGAATCTTGACCAAAGCCTTACTGCACAGCCAAAAAGTAAACACCATCATTTTTTTCACCATGTCCATGTCAATTGTCTGCCTCTGCTTCATCATGTTCCACGTCGTCCGGCGCAGTGATTTTGTACGTTACTACATCAGCCAGTGTGAATTGGCCGGCTTAGCCGAAGAGCAACGCGGATTCGCCAATCCTAATCCAGCGTCTGGTCCATACACAGAGGAAGTAAGCTTAGTAAGCCGCTATTTCGTTTGTAATAATATTCAGCGATAAATACGATGGGTGTGATGAAAAGTTATCGGCCCAACAAAGAAATGATTCTAAACTAGAAAAAAAATCTGATGTTTGGTCATTTGGTCAGATCTTAAGAAGTGTGTCGAATCGATAACTTTTCAGCACCCCCTCGTACATCGTCTTCAGTTATAATGTCTTTATTGGCGAGCATTAAATAAAGTTAAATACAGAATGGTTACATTAAGTTAATTAATTGCTTAATCAGTAGACGCGACATATTTAATCGTCGGGGAGGGGGGCATGACGAATATGTCCGTTTTGTGGTATCTCTCAGAGAAATGTGGCTTACTTACCAATGCCCATCTTCCCTTCAGGTAAAATGCATTAGATGTTAGTAGATGACATGGTACGACCATCAAGAAAAATCCTTTACCTGACGTATTATTGAACGCTCAAGATGAATCATCTTTTATCAAAATCTTTGACGATAATGCGCACATTTGGCTGTGACGCATGTGCCTGATATACCCTTATACGACTAGGTGCCACGATGGGTATATTTGGCTTTGTATATTTGTACCCCAGCGTCACTGGTGGTGTGATGCTTTCTCACTCAATAATTATAACGTTTAATCCTTTCAACACAGTTTATGAATATTATGAATAATAATGTTTTTATTTTATGTTTCACCAATTTTAGTATACGTTTTCATCTAATGATGTATACATATTGCATTTGTAGGAATTATTTATACCTGTCTTAATAGTAAGTTCAATAGGTTCAACAAAGTAAAACTGGCAGCTGTTCTCGAAAAATGACCAATCAGTTGTTACGAGGGTCGATCAAAAGGTTCTAAACCTCACCCAGAAAGAAGAGCCATAGCTGAACATTTTTGTTGTGGCAACACACTGCCACTTCTTATAAAAACTAATTCAGATTTCTGTCTTGATTTCTGTGCAGGTGAGGCCCACACAAAGATGAAAGACATGGGAAAAATCTGAAAATGGACAAAATAGGCCCGAGCAGTCATAAAGGATCTGAAAGAAGAAAAGTAGGACATCCAAGGAAATCGATGAGGACATGGTACAGACACTTGTCGAGGACTCCTCTTCCTATGCAATTGTGAAGAAGTGGGCTGTGGAACTCAAAGGGGACAGGGACAGAAGATGACCTTAGGTCAAATCGTCCAAAAACCTTAATCACTAATGAACAAGTTGACACCATTCACTGTATGGTTTTATACGACAGCAGATAGTCCATGGGCATTATTTTTGGTTCAGTCCATACTGTTTTAACTGAGATCTTGGGGATGAGCAAGATGTCTTCAAGATCAGTCCCAAGAATTCTGACACCAGAGCTGACACCAGAGCTGACACCAGAAAGGGTTAACATTTCCAGGACACTTATGATTCGCTTCCAGGTTGACACTGAGAATTTCCACCGCAAATTAAGTCGCACAAGATGAAACTAGATTTCATCACTTCGAACCTGAATCAAAGATTCAAAGCGAACAGTAAAAACATTCTGGTTTTCAACTCCGATGAAGTTCAAGCAGGCAACGTCTGTTAGCAAGGTGATAACTTCTGTTTTTTTTTTTGTTTTTTTTTTATTCTGAATGCGTAATCATGATAGACTACCCGGAAAAGGATTAAAAAAAACTATTAACAAAAAAGTACTATGCATCAGAATTAAAATAACTGAAGAAAGCAGTCAAGTCGAAACGCAGAAGGGAGCTAAGAGCAGGTGTGCTCTTGTTCCAGGATAACGCGCCCGTTGCAGTAGCTGAAGCAGGCAACTGTGGCTTTGAATTGTTACTTCACCCCACTTACTCAGCAGGCTTAGTTCATTCTTCCTGTTTCTTAAACTCAAATCCCACCTACGTGGTCGCCATTTTGAAAACAATGATGAGATCATACGTGCTGTGGAGGAGTTTTTTGGGGACAGGATGCCACTTTCTTCCGTGTTTGGATTGCAATGCTTAAGCATCATAGGACCACGTGCATTGATGTCAAGGGGAACTATATCGAAAAAATATTGAAAAACTTTCCTGTTTCTCCAACTCGTTCTGGGTGAGGCTTAGAACTTTTTGAACGGCCCTCGTAACTGGGATAAGAAATGAAACTGTTGTCCAAAACAAAACTTCTTCTATGTGCCCTGTCCCTTCATGACGTTGGCGATAATGGCTCACCACAATTTCCTTTCTTTCTAATCACCATAGAGAACCTTTTTTGCGTTTCATTAGCATGGCTGATGCTAACCTCCAGTAGATAAACTTATTACGTTTTCCACTGACATGAAGTGTAATGATTGTATTAAATTGATTGATAGGTTTGTTGCTAGAAAAGTTGGTTCACTTTGTCGTGCTAGATATTTTTTTTTTCATCAGAATCAATCTTGCAAATTTATAAATCTACCATTCGTTTGTACATTGAATATTACTGCTGTATTTGGCGTGGTGCTCCTGCCATATATCTCGAGATTCTTAGCAAAATTCCAAGAAGGGTCAATAATGTTATTGGTCCTGATCTGACAACTCGACTTCAGTAACTTTCCTACCGCCATGAAGTGGCTTTCCTCTGTTTTTTTCTACGAATATTTTCATAGAAATTGTTCCGATGTTCTCTCTTCCTCTCAACTGTGTGAATTTAAGCGTACTACTAGTTTGGCTACTAGGCTTCATAGTTTTACTGTCGTATTTCAACAGTAAAACTAGATGTAATTGTAAGTACTATTCTAATCGTTTCTTTACTCGAACTTCCCGCCTTTAGAACTCTCTTCCGGTTTCTTGCTTCTCTGCCACTTACGTTCTTCAAAAATTTAAATGCAATGTCAATCGCCATCTTCCTGAAACCTCTTCTTTTATTGTCCTTTTTCTTCACTGAAGTTCTCTCATTTTCTTTCAATCTCAGTTACCGTGGTGTCTTAGTGACATTATCGACTTATTTGGGGCGAAATGGTTAAAAAAAGAAAAGGAGCTGAATAAACTGTATTAACATTAAACTATAGACACCTGCACACACTCACGCACAGACGCACACAAAGACACAATAATGTTTCCCTTAGCTACAAAATGAAGACTGAATTCCTTTTACTGATGTTTATTAGAAGCTGGTACTTTCCCATTCTTTCGACAGTCTATTACTATGACCGATGTTGGGACAAGTTACATTCCTTAGTGCCACCGGCTCAGATATGTTCACAGTGGCGAGCCATCCACATTCCATTCATGTACCTTTGATAAAAAGCAATTTCCACACAGTGTGGCGAAAGAGAAAGTCACTTATCGAGAAAAAGGAGACGTTAGTTTTGTACGATATGCCGAAGACTAGTCAGTCGCAGGTGTTACCGTAAATGCATCTCAGATAGGCTAATATTGTTTATCCTCTCCAACCATCGGCCAATGAAAAATTGTTCCGTCGATAAAAGTGATAAGTGTTTCTCAAATTGGAATGTCATTTTTTTTTTATTTTGCTACCTCGTTCGTCGTCTTTGCACACTGAATTTCTGACCGTTTACATATATTGGAAATTTTAACTTTGAACATGCGATTCGTGATTTCGATATTTCTTTCTGTCCATGGATTTTCGAGTTTGGATTTGCGATTTGTTTATTTCGATGTGGAATTGAGCAGCTATAACAACTTTTGAACTAGCTATTTCAGCTCGTAATATTTATGGACCGATTCGACTTGAAGTTGATACCTGAGTTCAACTGTTCGTCCACTGACCTATCTGTTGTTGAGCAGGTGGAAAAAGCAGAACTCATTTGTCGACTATGCAAATAGAAAGAGTCGGCGACAGTCATTCCATTGGGGCTGTCGGTGGGGAGGGAGAGAGGTCTACACCGTGAACCAGCAGCTTAAAGATAGTGACAAAAAAAACCGGCAACAGTGATAAAACGGACTTTTTATACGGCTTTTGGAACGGACCCGTTTGTGGCATATCAACAATTTATTTGGCACCGACTACTCCCCGGTGAAACGACTGACGTATATCTGGCAGATTTACGGAAACTTTCTGTGCCGTTTGGGTGCTTGAATGACCGGATACTGTGGTGCGCCTTTGTAGCTGGATTGCCGGATAAGGTCAGTTGGCTTTTGCGAGCAACAACCAGAATGGATGAACTAACGGCCGACCAGCTATTGGCCCGGGCCCGAACCATTCGCAAAAAGTCGGAAGAGGAACTGATAGTAGCGTCTGCAAGGCCTACCAAAAGAGAACATGTTCTCCCAACTGTGTGTCCTTGTGGGTGAATTAAGTGCTACAGATGTAATGGCCCAAACCACCTGGCGAGAGACTGCCTCCAAAAGAGGCAAGCGACTCGGGCGTATTTCTACCGCTGTCATAGGTACCAGGATCCAGGGCTCCTGTCACGAAATTGTCCGGGAAACGTGTCAAAGGGGCGCTGCCTCAGTGTCAGTCTCTCTTCCCCGCAAGTCATAAAAGAGACGCTCCCCGTAACCGATCTACGCACTGATGAGGTGAAACGTACAGCCCTCGTGGATATAGGTTGTTCGCGTTTACTGACGAACATACCCAATTGCCGTCCATAGAAAATGAGGTGTACGTGCTGATGGTCCTCAGAAGTCGAAGCGACACAAGTATGGAAGTCCACATAGAAAAGTGTGACCCTATCAATATAGATGTTCTGGTCGTGGAGAGAAAATTGTTAGGATTCGACCTGTTCCTCGGGATGGATGTCATTGAGAAATTGGACGGTGTTCACATTACAAAAACGGCTAAAGTCAGTTTTGTTAATCCCTATATTTGTGCAACCATGAGTGTAATTCATCCTGCCTTTACCACGGAATTCAACCAATATACCAGTACCTGGACTGCATCTTGGAAGAGGTCGGATGGACACCCACCGGAATATCTGAAAAACCGGGTATCTGAGTTCTCTGTGTTTAAGCAGGCAAGGAGTAAATATCAACTTCAATTACAGGCATGGATAAATGACGGTTGGCTGATACGTTACCCCGAAAAAGAACTCGGTCTTC